AATAGACCATTTCATGGGTTGAAAGACACAATATTATTAGATAGCAACTCTCTTCTGATATCCTTTGGCAGGGACACAGAACCAGACTATATCATCTTCAAACTCTAGCTTCAGTGCAATATCAATTATTTTTTTAAAAATTACAAATCAATCCTAAAAACTAATGGTAATATGTGGGACCTAGAATAACCACAATAATCAACAACATAGTAGAAGGGTTTCATTGACTGATTTCAATACTTCTTATAAAGTTAACTATCAAGACGGTCTAATATTGGTATAAGGGGGTAGATAAACAGATCAATGTAGTAGAATAGAGTCCAGAATCAACCTGCACTGAATTTTTAACAAAGGAGCTAGAAGAATGTTTGCTGACTTAAGTCATACTTTCTGAAGGTAAGAGGTGTGTCTAAAGCATGACATAAATCCACACCATTCAATGTATATACATTTTATTTCCTCAAAGAGGAAAACACATGGAAAAACTCAAAAGGGCAGAGTAGAACTATGGCCATTAACCTTGACAATTAAGGATCTATTGAGCACAATTTATTATAGCTTTAAAAGTGGCCTATATTTTCATCTTTTTTTTTTTTCAATTTCTATATTGGGGCTGGGCACGGTGGCTCATGCCTGTAATCCCAGCACTTTGGGAGGCCAAGGTGGGTGGATCATCTGAGATCAGGAGTTCAAGACCAGTCTGGCCAACATGGTGAAACCCCATCTCTGCAGAAAATACAAAAATTAGCTGGGCATGGTGGCATGTGCCTGTAATCCCAGTTACTCAGGAGGCTGAGGCAGGAGAATCACTTCAACCTGGGAAGTGGAGGTTGCAGTGAGCTGAGATCATGCCACTGCACTCCAGCCTGGTGCCTGGTGACAGAGCAAGACTTTGTCTCAAAGAAAGAAAGAGAGAGAGAGAGAGAGAGAGAGAGAGAGAGAGAGAGAGAGAGAGAGAGAGAGAGGAGAAAAAAGAAAGAAACAAGAAGGAAGGAAGGAAGGAAATAAATAAATAAATAAATAAATCTGTATTGGGCTTGCCCTATGTAAACATTTGGAAACACTATTCTTTTATAAAATTAGTAGCATAAATTTACATGCTTGTTTTGAGACTGGCTGAATTTTGTTGGAATGAAGATGATGTCTACTAAGTTGATGAGAAACATTTATTTGAATCATTCCAGCACACATGGTGTGTTGGCTGTGACAGTGGCTTTCCACCAGCGTGTAAGTTTGCAGTTGGCTTAATTTGTGGCTGTCAGTACTGCAAAATCTTTAGCTTAACACTTTACAAAAAACAAATAACCCAAACAAATAAAAATGTTCCTGGATGTGCCATGTGGTTCTTTTATATTTGTAATTCTTTTAGCCTTGAATCTGTGAACCAGGACTGATTTCAGAGGTGGAACTTGTTTTGTTTTTCCTGTTTGGAGCCTGAATCACTCCGCTAGGAGTGGAAATAAACACCTATGTCAAGGTTCGATAAGAGCTTTTATACCACTTCACTTGAAAGAGGTGATTGAATCCCTTGATTTGGAATGTAATAAAATTTTACCATGGCCATTCTTTCTTTGTGGCAGAGAGTTTGAAGTTGAATTTGGAAAAAGTTCTTCCATATGGGAACTTACTATGTTACCCAGCAAACAGTCCTAATGAATTATATATGTTATATACAAAACATGCATGTAATATAGTGTATTATGTAACGTGTATGTATTATATGGTATGTGTATTTTATATAAATATTATGTGCTAGTAATATATAAAATAGATCCTATTACATACTCCTTTTTATCTGTCTCTCCCTATTTATTTATCTTGTCATCAGGTAGATCAAGAGAGCTATCCTTCCTCAGAGTACCTTGACTGGTTTTATGCTGTGAAGAAGCTTTACTTTCACTAACGAATCATTCCACTAATACATACTTGAGAAGCACAAATAGCTCTATCTGCATTCTCACAAATGGTGCTCTACCTCCTTAACATCCATGGAGACTGAAATCTTGACTCCCAAACAAGTGTGGGGATTTGGAAACCAAATGATACTCTTTCTCCTCCTCTCCAGTGTTTTTCTTCTTCCCAAAGTCCTTGCAGCCTGTCTTGTCTGAGGAGTCTGTAGACAGAGCTCTGGGGTGTATTTTTGGGAAGATTGACTGTACCAGATTTTACTAAGACATTTGGATTAGGGTTCCACTGAGCAGGTAGCTAGGGGAACAGAGTCATTTTACCTTCATATATTATAGAATATAAATATACTTTATCTTTTGCTTTTAAAGCAGCTACTGAAGACTGATGTCATCTGAATTCCTGGTCTTATCTGAATGCTGTCTAGCTAATGGGAATGAAGAGAAGAGTTTTGTTTCTGTTTTTTCCTCGAGACAGTCTCACTCTGTCACCCAGGCTGGAGTACAGTGGCACAATCTTGGCTCACTGCAGCCTCTACCTCCCGGGTTCAGCCTTCCGAGTAGAGTAGCTGGGACTACAGGCGCCCACCACCATGACCGGCTAATTTTTATATTTTTAGTAGAGATGAGGTTTCACCATGTTGACCAGGCTGCTCTCGAACTCCTGACTTCAGATGATCCACCCACCTCAGCCTCCCAGAGTGCTGGAATTACAGGTGTGGGGAGCCACTGCACCTGGCCAAGAGTTTGATTCAGTAGTATGTATGTTTCTCTGCCACTGTCTGTTCCATGACCTGTGCCACTGTTGATGTCACTGAGGCAGGCTTTTTGCCCTGTACAGATGCTGTGAATGCTGTCCTCCCATGGCGTGTGCATGGGAGTATTTTTTAACATTTGAGGTGTTTTAGAATGCAGGGTACGAGCAATTATCCACTATTAGTTATCTTTCGGTTCTTGTTTTTCCTTTTTTTTAAGTAAATAAATAAATGAGCTAATATTGCTTACTGCTAATGCTATATGTTATGATGTAATAATGTTTTCACAGTAATACTAATGCCTACCCAGTCTATTAATAAATCCTACTAATTGCTTTTATTTCCTGGCTCTTATTTTTCTGAGACAGTCTTTTTACTTTTTTTTTGTTTTGTTTGTTTCCTTTTGCAATCTGTTATTTTGCAATCAGAGTCATTCTGGAATTTTTATTTAACCTTTCTCACTACTCTCTTCAACTCATTATTCCACTTGTCTTTCTAGTGCTCTGTTCCTTCCTTCAAGTAAGTTTGCATTTTCTGGTTTGGAATTTCTTTTTGAGGCATGATCCTTTGATGCCACCTAGGGGGCACCTGTAAGATTGAGGTTGCCCTGTGCAGTCTGAAAAGCTGCATTTTGATCTGGTCTGAATGGTATGGCTTTCCTTGCATTGCTGTTTTTGTTTTTGTTTTCTAGTTCTAAGAAAAGAGAATCCTTAACACAATGAAGGTGAAGCATTTGAAAATCTTGGCCTTCATTCACCATTTAAAAATCTCGCTTTTGCATAGTGATAATACAGTAACACTCACTTGCTACTTACCATTCACTCCACAGCATTTGGAGGACTTTAAGCATGTTTGCTTGTTTTCATTTCTCCAAAAATCTCTGAGCTAGGTGACTGCGACCACCATCATCATCATTATCCCCGTTTTTACTAAATGAGGAAACAGAAGCATAGGATGGTGGCATAACTTGCCCACTTAGGGCTGGAGGGAGAACCCCTGCTGTCTGACTCAAGAAACTACCTACTTAGACATTTTTGTTTAGCTGGTCGCATCCCCTCTGGTCTCCAGCAGTTTTATATCATTTTTTTTCCCTGAGAACCATTTCCCCTTTTATAGGTTCCATTTAGCATTACATCTTCTGCGGTAGTGCAGAATTTCAAAAGTTGTTTTTGAGGCTAGGCTGAATACAACAGTAGGAAGAAGGGAAAATGAGAAGGTGTTTCGAAAGAAATGTGACCTGTGTTCTATTCTACTAGTTGAAAATAAGTGGGAAGGCTCAATCTAAATATGTTAGGAGACTTTGTTTGTAGGATATCAATAATAGTATGCACGGCCCTATGAAAGAAAAATCTATATAGTCAACTTTATTTTTAAAACATTTAGCCTAGGAATCAGTGTTGTTGCATAATTCAGTGTACTCAAAGAGTATTTATTATAAAGGTGTTCATATTTATGATGATGATAATTTACAATAAGGGTGAATATCTGTAAAAGACTCTGTGCATCTAAGTCTCTGCTAAAGTGTTGTTTTGAAAGCTCTAAAAACCAGGATATTATCTGATAAGGGTCCTAGGTAGAACTGCATTTGCCTGAGCCCGATCTCTGTTTGGATTTTCAAACCACATATTAGAGCCTTTGTAAAGCCTGCTGAATCTCAGCAAGTCTTTTGGTCAGCAAACCCATTATGTGGAGTGATTATCTCCATTGATACACCAGAAAAGTTATTAACTAAAGACAAAATGCTGGCTGACATCAAAATGAATATGTTTACTTGCATCTATGTTGTATCTGTGTTTCCACCCAGAGGGATATATAGACCACTTTTTAATAAGTGCTAATCCTCCTAATAGAAGTATTTTTAATTTTCTCTTTTGATGTGTATGAGTAATAAAGGAAGCACATTGCTTTCCCTAAGCGACTCCAAATTTCATTAGCTATGAAGCTCTTCTTTAAGCCATGATTTACTGAGAGTTTATATGCTACACATTTTATTAAGCACTCTGTAAGTAGCTCTGTGGCTAAATAGGTATCACCACCCAGTTTTTCAGCTGAATAAACAGGCTCAGACAAGGTCAGTGAATTGCCCAGAACAACACAGCTCACCAGAGCAAGAGTTGGTGTGAGCCCGGGTCTGCTGGATGCTGAAGCTCTGGGTGACCTCAGCAAGGCCGTTCTGCCCCTTCTTGTCACTCATGTTGGTGAGGAAGTCACCAGTGGCCCTGCTATTTATCTCTTAATCTTTTAAAATTCTGCATGTATTCACTTTCCCAGAACTTTCTTGCTTCTGTGTCTTTGCTCAGCTTTGGGGCTCTTGACTGTTATGCCTCCCTGTGTTTTTCAGCTTTGGAGACATGCTGTCTTTCACCCTGACGGCCTTCGTTGAGCTGATGGACCATGGCATAGTGTCCTGGGATACATTTTCGGTGGCATTCATTAAGAAGGTAATGCAGAGTGTGCCTCTTTAGGCTTTCCTTACTGCCTTCTTTTATAGTCGTTTTTCTCTGCTTTGAGGATATTTCATAATTGTCTTCCCTTTAGTTCTTTATATTGAAAGATGGGTGTGTTTTTTTGTAATATTACATATATGGGGGTTAGGAAACCCAAATTCTATATGAAAATGATTGTAAGAGATAAGGGATTGCATGTGCGCACCCATAGCTCAGGCCAAATCAGTGTGTCACACTGTTAACTGCACAACTGTCTGTTCATTCCCTGTGCTTGACTCTGTTGGTTTCAAGACCTAAACAGAGTTTCTACTGTCATCCTTCTTGAACCTTTAATCTTCAACCTGGTGTCCACGGACAAGGAAAGAGGCAATGTGCTGATTACCTGCACAGCTAGGTTTGAAGCAGGGATATATGAGAAGGAGGAGTGCCTGGGTCTGTGTGTCTTAGGCAGAGTGAGCCTACTTACTTGTAATCATGGCACAATGAATCTCTCAGACATCACCCAGTTCTACTGATTGTTCTTTTGGGCGAAAGCAAATAAAGATGGACCTGGTGCAGGGAAAGGGGACAGAAGAGCTACCACCATTCCTTGCAATTGAATTGTAATGAATTTGCAACTCTGTTTCCATCCTTCTGACTAAAAATAAATAGTCTTGAGCTTGTGACTCTCAAATGTAGATTAAATCATGGACAATTATCATTTATTATTTTTTCCTTTCTTTGTAATTGCGAAATGGTTTATAAATTCATTGGTATTTCTCCCCCCACTACTGTGTTAGGAATAAAGAGATGCTCAGAATTCATAACTTTATTTCATAAGTATCTATTACTGGGAAGGGTTATCTAAAATAGAGAATTTCAGTGAATCTGTGCAAGCCAGAAAATCAGAGAGCAATCCAGTAAGAGTCACTTGAAGTTTTTAAGCCTTTTATTTTAAAATAATGGTAGACTTAAAGAAAAGCTGAAAAACATCGGTCTTTGGGAGACCAAGGTAGGTGGATCATTTGAGGTCAAGAATTTGAGACCAACCTGGCCAACATGGTGAAACCTTGCTCTACTAAAACTACAAAAATTAGCCAGATGTGGTGGCATGTGCCTGTAATCTCAGCTACTCAGGAGCCTGAGGTAGGATAATCACTTGAGCCTGGAAAGCAGAGATTGCAGAGAGCCGAAATTGTGCCACTGCATTCCAGTCTGGGGGACAAAGTGAGACCCTGTCTCAAAAAAAAAAAATTAGTACATAGTACAGAATGTTCCTATATACCCTTCATCCAGCCTCCCCTAATGTTAACATTTTGCATAATGAAAGTATGGTTATCAAAACTAATAAATAAGCCATGGTGCAATGCCAGCATTTGATTTCACCTGTTTTTCTATGAATGCCATTCTCTGGTTAAGGATCTGATCCAGGATCCCACATTGAATTTGGTTGTTGTGCCTCCTTAGCATACCCCAGTCTGTGACAGCCCCTCAGCTTTTTCATTTGTCATTTATGACTTTGACACTTTTGAAAGGTACCAGTTATTTTGTAGAATGTTCTTCAATTTGGATTTGTCTGATATTTCCCTCGTGGTTCAATTAAAGAAGGTCATGCATTTTTGGCAAGAATACTACAAAAGTTATGGTGCATTCTTCTCAGTGCCTCCTTTCATGGGTACCTGATGTCACTGTCCTCTGACTGGTGATGTTACCCTGGATTACATGGTTAGGTGGCATCTGTTGGGTCTCCCCACTGTAAAGATGCTGCTTTTTGTGGGGGGAAGTGGTTAATCAGTATCTTAGGGGAGATGCTGCCTTGAATTGATGGGCATGGGATGGCCCTAATCTGTTGAATGAGGGGGATAGGATCAGAGGCCCCACAGGTGTCATGCTCGCACTGTGTTCCATGTTCATTTAAGACAAAAGCTGACTGGAAACGCAGGGTCTTCTCAGCACAACTCAGAATCATCCCTCTTATGTAAATCCATAAAGTCAAGGGGGATGAGCAAAAGGAACCCTGTAGAAAACACACAGGAAAGGAGGAGGCCCTTTTTGCCTGTATTTGTCAGTGGTATGAATTACTTGCTATATAGGAAAGAAACTGTTATAATTGCCATTAAGAGTTATGGTGAAAACTGCAATTACTTTTGCACCAACCTAATAGCTAAATAAGCCAAAGAAACCCCTGTATGTTATAAAATACCTTCCTCCCACCTTCAGCGGTGGCAGGCATTGTAAGCTTTAGATTATGAGGAGAAAATAAATTGCTGAATTTTGCCTCTCTGAGATCAGTTCTAGAGAAGCAATTCCAAATCTGAAGATACTGAGTATCATTGATTTTTAATACTTAACAAACATTTTAACTTTTTGAATTTACAGTAGGCTTTCTTTTCTACCTCCAGAGTGCCCGGCTTGTCTGTTATGAGAGCCTCTTTTGCTATAGAATATAACAACAATGTTGTACTGAATGTGAATTCCTTGAAATTATGTTCTGCTTTCACCAACATTAGCCCTTTTGATTCCCAACAGCAATCCTTTCCAGAACAGAACAGATAGTCCTGTTATTTCTGGTTAGGAGGCAGGGATGCAGTGGGTTGCGGAGGTTGAATGAGGTCACACAGTGAGTGGGCGTCCTTGGTCACATGGTCAAGGCGCTTCTCTCCATCATCATGCACCTGGTGCTTTCCTAGCGGTGGAAGGCATAGTTCCCAGAGCCTCGCTTCACCAGCCTGTCTCTTACATATTCCTCCCTGACCTTACTGCTAGAGTTAAGTGGTTTCTTCTGCTCTCTGTTCCCCTGGGATCTCGTGAATGCCCCTATTCCAGCACTTGTCACATTTCAGGGAATTTTTTGTTCATTTGACTGTCTTTCCCAATAGACCATTAGCTCAGGAAGGCAGAAACATGGCTTTCTTCATGACTTTATCCTCAGGGCCTGGCACAGAGTAAGGTCTTAATATATTTCTGTTAAATGAATGACTACAATTTGCTTGGAAGCATTAAAAATACCCATAGAATTTGAAGAAGAGACAGAAAAAAGTGGTACTGTATTTAAATCTATTTTAAGTAAAATTTTGGTTATGAGTAGAAAGGAATGAGAAAGCTGTGTTTCTTTAAATGTGAGTAGTGGCCAGAGAGAATGACAGCCATTTAATTTTCTAACAACTTAAGAAAATGTTTCATTTATATAAATTAATTCAAAAATCATATTAAATGTAAGAAAACAAAGACTGACAATCTTGGTGGTTTAAATAAAAAATTAAGTATTTTTTAAAAAGCAACACATTTAATCTAGTTCATGTCCTCATTCCCAGTCATATTTTCTTTGCATTGCTACTTAGAGATCTCTTACAAGAATTTAAAAATTGTCATCAGAAAATTACTTACTTTTCCGTAAGGTTAACTTTTTTATTCATTAGCTGGACCAAATTCAGCACTTTGACAACCCAGGAATTGTATGCTGGCAACTGTCTTTTAAATGGAGCTTTCTCTCAACAAAAATCGACTAGGAAATGGGCTGACAAAAGATGCCTATCTCTGTGGTCTGGAGTTGGCTTCCTATTAATGCCAAATTCATACCACTTTGGAGAAATATTTTTCCCTGCCAGCCTCTGTCTCCTTCTCTATTACTTTATCTGTTTTGTTATGTGTGAATCTAGATTCTAGTTTACAAATTTTGGCTGCAATAAATAGCATCATTTCATAAACAGCTCTGAAACTTGGAATCCCTTGATGCCAATATATAATGTTGTTGCTTTTTAAAGACTTGGCCACTTAGGGACAGGGTAAGAAAATATGGAGTAGAAAGAAAAGGAAAAAAAAACCAACTTTCAATGTTATGAGTTGATTTTTTCCTTGCCAAGTATAATATCAGTGCCTTCTTTTGGAAGGAAAGTTTCATATAAATGCTCTTGAAACCTCAGCTATGCAGGAGAACCTGGCTTACCCTCCAAATGTTTTCAGCGCCTGGACAAACATCCTGCCATTTTGGTTTGGAGACCTGGTAATTTTTGCCTCTTAAAAATTTGAGAAATTTACAGGCCTCTACCTAGATAATTGGATCATTGATTCATGCACTGTAAAGCCTCTTAGCTTCTTAAAAGTTACATAAATAGGCTGAGTGTGGTGGCTCACGCCTTTAATCCCAGCACTTTGGGAGGCCCAGGCGGGCAGATTACCTGAGGTCAGGAGTTCAAGGCCAGCCTGGCCAACATGGTGAAACCTTGTCTCTACTAAAAATACAAAAAATTAGCTGGGCGTGGTGACACACACCTGTAATCCCAGCTACTCAGGAAGCCGAGGCAGGAGAATCACTTGAACCCGGGAGGCAGAGGTTGCAGTGAGCTGAGATAGTACCACTGCACTCCAGCCTGGGCAACAGAGTGAAACTCTGTTTCGAAAAAATAAAAGTTACATAAAATATTTCTCTGTCTTATTTAGCTAAGATTTTTAAATGAATGAACAGTACAAGGAGCTAATGTGTATAGTTACTGCTAATTCCTCTTACTTCTTCCTTATGATATAGGCCTACTTTCGAGAAGCTGTACTGTGGCTGGCTTGGATTGGTTCACTTGTGTCAGCCGAAAGTGTAGGAATGGACCTAGGATAAATTGAGAGGCAGGGGAATCATTATTACTCTTTGGTGGGATAAAGGAAATAAAAATATGAATAGGCATGAATAACCTTCTGTAGCTATACAAAGATCTGTAGTTTTCAAACTGGACATAGAGACATTTGTCCATTAACTATTTTGGACATTCAGGTATAAGGAGTTGTTCTCACGTTCCCTGGAGGATGACAATTATTGCATTCACTTGGATACCTTGGTTATTAATATTTATTAAGTGAAAGTATTGGGTCTTTTGAATATCTGGCTAAAACCAGTGACAAGACAAAAGAAAGAAATCTGCTTCAAACTTGTGCATAGGACTCTTATGAACTGAGTACCCCAGGTGTGTTACACAGAATGCTTATTATGTAACATGCTTTAGGATTGCTGAAATGATTGGGTTCTTTATGTCAAGGAAGAGATGAATTAATAGAAAAATAAATTTTAAAGAATGCTTTCATGAAAGCAAGGGATTCATTTCTTAGGAGAAAAATATATAGAAATAATGAATGGAAATGGAATATGTATGTGGGATATAAATATGCCTGAATTAAAGCAAAGACTGCATATTATTTTTACCATCATTGAGCAAGTCCACTGGGAGCAAGGAAGACTTAATGATTTATAGAGAACTTTAAGACCTATTATGAGAAGGTATATATTTCATATCAGAAAACACTGAGAGTAGGCTGGGAGCCATGGCTCACACTTGTAATCCCAGCACTTTGGGAGGCCAAGGCAGGCAGATCACTTGAGGTCAGGAGTTCAAGACCAGCCTGGCCAACCTGGTGAAACACTCTCTACTAAAAATACAAAAATTAGCTGGGTATGGTGGTACATGCCTGTAATCTCAGCTACTCAAGAGGCTGAGGCAGGAGAATTGCTTTGACCCAGGAGGTGGAGGTTGTAGTGAGCTGAGATCGTGCCATGGCATTCCAGGCTGGGCGACAGAGCAAGACTTCATTTCGGAAAAAAAAAAAAAAAAATGTTCTGATTGAATATTTTAGGAAAGGAAATATTGTAAAAAGGATATTTATAAAAGTAGGGGACTAATTCAGGGGGCAGATTTCCACTTGATGGAAAACTTGAACACAGAAGAAACTGCATGAGATTATGTTTTAGTGACACAGCAATGAATTGGACCACTGGGCTAGTGTTATGTGTATATACTCTGTATCAAAAGGGAGATATCTCAGATATATCACGGATATAAAATAGGGAGCTGGAAATATGCATTACTAATGATTATGGATTCTTAGAAAACAGTGATAATTGGGAACAGAGGCATAAGAAGACAATGAGATTGATATTCCCCCCATTTAATTTTTGGCTTTTTTGGAATATCCAAATGGCAGCATCATTTTGCATGCCAAGAATAGGCACGCAGTGTACTTTCTGGTAAATGCCTTTTTATCTGTCCTTGCTAGACTGTAAGGTCCTTGAAGTTTGTTTGCTATTTTCATCTTTGTATTTCCAGCTCTGTGGGACAGGGTAAGCCTGGTGTATAACACACGAGCAATGGATGTTAGCGGAATGTATCAATTAATGGATGAGTAAATATTGACTGAATCAAAAGAGTGGTTGAAGATGGAGGTAGAGGTGTTTGACAATATCAGCAACAGCTTCTCAGGTACATGGCTCCATGCAGCCTTAAGGCACATCCAAGTTTAATAAACAGAGACAAGCAGGGGAGCCTGGGATGAGGAGAAAATTAGTTGTGAAAGAATCTGAAGCATTGTCAATGAGTTTCGTTATGAGTTCTTCAGTTTCCTAATACAGTGCCAAGAATTATGCTGAGAGCGGGCCGGGCGCGGTGGCTCAAGCCTGTAATCCCAGCACTGTGGGAGGCCGAGGCGGGTGGATCACGAGGTCAAGAGATCGAGACCATCCTGGTCAACATGGTGAAACCCC